CTAGTGGAGTACTTCAAGGTTCCTAATCCGGCTCGCTACTTTTTCTAATATATGTGAAGGACCTAAGAAAAGAAATGACAGAACATGAGCCGTTTGGGTTATGCGGATGTTTTCAAGCTTGTAACATCGATGATCAAACAAAAAAAGAAGATTGGTGCAAAACTAATAAAATGAAATCAAACGAGGGCAAATGCTTTATCTTACCAATAAAACAGAAATAAGGCGTGAAGCATGACTTCACGTTGAAAACAAAACAACCGAGTAAAAGGACTTATAAAGCTTGGAAAGCATACTACTTCCTGAAAAGAAACATCTCTCTTGCAGCTTAAAACACTAAACTCAATGCGTACGTAGGATATGTAATACCTGTAATAAGTTATGCATCACCAGCTTGGTTCTCGAACAAAACTGAAAGTAAAGAAATAGAACGTGTCTATAGGAAAGCAACTATCTGAACAATGGACAATTGGGATAAAAGCTATAAACAAAGACTAACTGAGCTGAAACTACTTCCATAATCGTAATGCTTTGAACTACATGATTTGTTAATGCTAGTATCAATTTTGAAAGGCAGCTACAAAATCAAACTACCGATAAAGTCGAATACGAAACCCAATGACAATCTTTTATACACAAGACAAAAAGATGTAATATCGATAACAAAAACTCGAACAATAAAAGCTGATAAAAATTTTTGGAAAAAAGTCTTTTATTGCATGCAATACGAAAAAGGAAATATCAACCTCGAACAAATTGAAAAACCATAACTGACAAAATTATACGGGAATTACTTCTTAAAAGATTACTCTGAAGTCAACTTATGTTTCTGGGCTTTTATATGCAACTGTGGATATTGCAAACCGGTGCAGAAAGTCAGCAGGGAGTTCAATTCCAATACCAATGCCACAATACCAATACCGAACTGAATCATCAATACAATTTCCATTACCAAACCCAGTCAATACTTCAATACTTTGTTACAATACCTCAAAACTTTTGCAAAAACTTTAACAACTTTGACAACTCGTGTTAGCAAAAATCACGAAACGTTTGAAACACGAAACATTTTAGATCGAAATGTCTTGCATGGATTCTCTATAATTTTCTATTTTTTTTTTCATAAGTACAACGAACGGAGGGAATTAAATACTAGTCTCAGTAAACTTTTTTGTTTAAATAGTTTAATTTTCTTTTTTGTTGTTTTTGTTAGATTGTTTTGTTACTACACAAATTTTCATTAATTGCCTTCTTAGAGTTCTTTGTATAACCATACAGCCCTATAAGAAAATGTTATGATAAACTTATTAAATAGTTTCAGAGAAATGGCCGAGGCCACCGACAACCAAACCGCTTGACTTACAAAACTGGCCACTGCGAACAGCGTACCCGGACATTCGGAATGTGAAGCAAATTGCATCATATTGCATCTATTCATCATATTGCATCTACTATTCACCAATATTCATTCCGCTCATCGTCGTTCTCCAAAAAAAAAACGGCGTTGGTGTGATTTGAACACCGGACCTCTCGACCGAAGGATAGACGCGCTACCAACTGAACTACATCGCTCAGCCAATATGAATCCTAAGTGCAACACATGCAACCATACGCTAGCGGACGGAGTTGAACTGTTTGTTGGTTTGACTTGTGGAAATTCAATGCTCTGGACCCTGAAATGCACTGGGTTCTCAGAAACATTACTAAAAGAGTTAAAAGAAGTAAGAAATAACGTCCTCCTGATGTGTAATCAATGCTCCAGCAATGGCAAACGAGACTTGGTTATTTCTGTGGTTTCCAGGCAATCTTCTGCTATAGAAGCAATTCAAAAACAAATAGAAAAAGCTGAAAACTCTCTCAAAACGCAAACCGAAGTTGAACTGAAGAAATATTCTGAGGTCCTCACCAACACCCTCGCTACTAGCGCAGCCCCACACCCTTTGGTGGCTGCGACAAAGCAAGACGTACAGAAAAAATCTACTGGCAACGCACTCATTGGTATCCGAATAAGAGGAATTCCTGAATTGGTCAACAGAGATCCCGCCTTGCGCTTCAAGGCGGATCAAGTAGAAGTGAACAAAATCTTTTCGCACCTGGGCCTGGCATGCCAAGCATCAGATATCAAGAGAATGGGCAATCATATTAAAGGCAAAGATCGAACCATAATGGCGAGAGTAAACGATGCTTGCGACCGAAGACTCATCTTTCTTTCTTTATCGAAACTTAAGCATTACGACAAAAAAGTGTTTGTGTCTCCCGAACTAACAACAAAAGAATTTGAAAAAGAGAACCTCCTGCTGCAGCAACGGCGAGTAATGATCAATGGGGGTGCAGAGCCCAGTAGCATCAGACTGAGAAACCTTGTGCTAGAAAAGAAAATAAACAAAGTTTGGACCAGTCTGCCTGCTCCTACCGAAGACACAGAGTCCGAATCAGAATCCAAATGACTAAACAGGGCCTCCAAATGTCCGTTCTTGTATACAATGCTCGAAGTTTGTTGGACATTAAGCGAATAATGGCTTTCGCCAACACCTCAACTAGTTCAGACTTTCATATTCTTTGTATAACTGAGACCTGGCTAACTAGTCACGTGCCTAACAGCGCCTTATTTCTCACTGATTTTACTATCTATACAACGGACCGAGCGCATACTGCCAACAGTTCCACCAAATATGGTGGCGTTCTGTTGGCTATCCGACACCCCTACTCGTCGACTCATCTCGACACATCAGATATTCCTGATTGCGTTGCCTCACTGGTACAGTCCTCACCTACAACCAGTCCACTACTGTTCTGTTGTGTCTATTCAGCTCCTGACGGGAGCTCCTATAGACTCAACGTGAGCTTTTTCAAACACCTCCTGCTACTACTGCAACACTACAAAATGGAACACAATTGCGAGCACGTTATCATTGCTGGTGATATAAACCTGAAACATACCGATTGGTCAACCATGGTCTCAACAGAAACATACGAATCCGAGCTCCTGGAACTCTTGGTTCAATTCAACTATCAACAAACTTTGGCAAACAACTCCTGCATGCTGGATGTCTTCCTCATCAACGATACCTCGCCTATAATTCATACGGCAGTTGACTATGTAGATTTCACACTCAGTAGATTTCAAGAAGTGCTCCGACCATCAGCCGTACTCAATCCTCTTACAAGTTCAATATGCTCCTCCAAAGCCACCAGCCCGTCAACTAATCGATCTGGACTTCAACGTGTTCTCATACCATAAGGCTCACTGGGATCTCATCGGAATATAAATTATCAACAGTCCTTTCACTGGCTACTGCTACAGCAATGTGGATGTCCTCTTGACTTCATGGTATGAGTGGTTGTATAGTACAGTATCGAAACACATTCCGCCCATCAATAAACACCGCCGTAACCTGCCCCCCTGGGCATCGGGCGAGGCGTCACATCTTATGAAAAAACTCAGCACACTACGTAAAGCCAAGAAGCCAAATGAAACGAAAACAAACATCACAGACCTTTTATACAAAGAATACGATGGAAAGGAAAATGAAATATTTGTGTTATAATTTGATTTCAAAAAGCTTTTGATATCACACAACTTGCTGCTCCAAAAAATTTAAAAAAAATAGACTTTGGAGGTAATTTTCTTAAAACAGATGCCAGTTGCTTATCTGACCGCCAACAGTATGTTAAAATAAATGAATGCATTTCTGAAATAGTATCTGTCACTAGTGGAGTACTTCAAGGTTCCTAATCCGGCTCGCTACTTTTTATAATATATGTGAAGGACCTAAGAAAAGAAATGACAGAACATGAGCCGTTTGGGTTATGCGGATGTTTTCAAGCTTGTAACATCGATGATCAAACAAAAAAAGAAGATTGGTGCAAAACTAATAAAATGAAATCAAACGAGGGCAAATGCTTTATCTTACCAATAAAACAGAAATAAGGCGTGAAGCATGACTTCACGTTGAAAACAAAACAACCGAGTAAAAGGACTTATAAAGCTTGGAAAGCATACTACTTCCTGAAAAGAAACATCTCTCTTGCAGCTTAAAACACTAAACTCAATGCGTACGTAGGATATGTAATACCTGTAATAAGTTATGCATCACCAGCTTGGTTCTCGAACAAAACTGAAAGTAAAGAAATAGAACGTGTCTATAGGAAAGCAACTATCTGAACAATGGACAATTGGGATAAAAGCTATAAACAAAGACTAACTGAGCTGAAACTACTTCCATAATCGTAATGCTTTGAACTACATGATTTGTTAATGCTAGTATCAATTTTGAAAGGCAGCTACAAAATCAAACTACCGATAAAGTCGAATACGAAACCCAATGACAATCTTTTATACACAAGACAAAAAGATGTAATATCGATAACAAAAACTCGAACAATAAAAGCTGATGAAAATTTTTGGAAAAAAGTCTTTTATTGCATGCAATACGAAAAAGGAAATATCAACCTCGAACAAATTGAAAAACCATAACTGACAAAATTATACGGGAATTACTTCTTAAAAGATTACTCTGAAGTCAACTTATGTTTCTGGGCTTTTATATGCAACTGTGGATATTGCAAACCGGTGCAGAAAGTCAGCAGGGAGTTCAATTCCAATACCAATGCCACAATACCAATACCGAACTGAATCATCAATACAATTTCCATTACCAAACCCAGTCAATACTTCAATACTTTGTTACAATACCTCAAAACTTTTGCAAAAACTTTAACAACTTTGACAACTCGTGTTAGCAAAAATCACGAAACGTTTGAAACACGAAACATTTTAGATCGAAATGTCTTGCATGGATTCTCTATAATTTTCTATTTTTTTTTTCATAAGTACAACGAACGGAGGGAATTAAATACTAGTCTCAGTAAACTTTTTTGTTTAAATAGTTTAATTTTCTTTTTTGTTGTTTTTGTTAGATTGTTTTGTTACTACACAAATTTTCATTAATTGCCTTCTTAGAGTTCTTTGTATAACCATACAGCCCTATAAGAAAATGTTATGATAAACTTATTAAATAGTTTCAGAGAAATGGCCGAGGCCACCGACAACCAAACCGCTTGACTTACAAAACTGGCCACTGCGAACAGCGTACCCGGACATTCGGAGTGTGAAGCAAATTGCATCATATTGCATCTATTCATCATATTGCATCTACTATTCACCAATATTCATTCCGCTCATCGTCGTTCTCCAAAAAAAAACGGCGTTGGTGTGATTTGAACACCGGACCTCTCGACCGAAGGATAGACGCGCTACCAACTGAACTACATCGCTCAGCCAATATGAATCCTAATTGCAACACATGCAACCATACGCTAGCGGACGGAGTTGAACTGTTTGTTTGTTTGACTTGTGGAAATTCAATGCTCTGGACCCTGAAATGCACTGGGTTCTCAGAAACATTACTAAAAGAGTTAAAAGAAGTAAGAAATAACGTCCTCCGGATGTGTAATCAATGCTCCAGCAATGGCAAACGAGACTTGGTTATTTCTGTGGTTTCCAGGCAATCTTCTGCTATAGAAGCAATTCAAAAACAAATAGAAAAAGCTGAAAACTCTCTCAAAACGCAAACCGAAGTTGAACTGAAGAAATATTCTGAGGTCCTCACCAACACCCTCGCTACTAGCGCAGCCCCACACCCTTTGGTGGCTGCGACAAAGCAAGACGTACAGAAAAAATCTACTGGCAACGCACTCATTGGTATCCGAATAAGAGGAATTCCTGAATTGGTCAACAGAGATCCCGCCTTGCGCTTCAAGGCGGATCAAGTAGAAGTGAACAAAATCTTTTCGCACCTGGGCCTGGCATGCCAAGCATCAGATATCAAGAGAATGGGCAATCATATTAAAGGCAAAGATCGAACCATAATGGCGAGAGTAAACGATGCTTGCGACCGAAGACTCATCTTTCTTTCTTTATCGAAACTTAAGCATTACGACAAAAAAGTGTTTGTGTCTCCCGAACTAACAACAAGTGAATTTGAAAAAGAGAACCTCCTGCTGCAGCAACGGCGAGTAATGATCAATGGGGGTGCAGAGCCCAGTAGCATCAGACTGAGAAACCTTGTGCTAGAAAAGAAAATAAACAAAGTTTGGACCAGTCTGCCTGCTCCTACCGAAGACACAGAGTCCGAATCAGAATCCAAATGACTGAACAGGGCCTCCAAATGTCCGTTCTTGTATACAATGCTCGAAGTTTGTTGGACATTAAGCGAATAATGGCTTTCGCCAACACCTCAACTAGTTCAGACTTTCATATTCTTTGTATAACTGAGACCTGGCTAACTAGTCACGTGCCTAACAGCGCCTTATTTCTCACTGATTTTACTATCTATACAACGGACCGAGCGCATACTGCCAACAGTTCCACCAAATATGGTGGCGTTCTGTTGGCTATCCGACACCCCTACTCGTCGACTCATCTCGACACATCAGATATTCCTGATTGCGTTGCCTCACTGGTACAGTCCTCACCTACAACCAGTCCACTACTGTTCTGTTGTGTCTATTCAGCTCCTGACGGGAGCTCCTATAGACTCAACGTGAGCACTTTCAAACACCTCCTGCTACTACTGCAACACTACAAAATGGAACACAATTGCGAGCACGTTATCATTGCTGGTGATATAAACCTGAAACATACCGATTGGTCAACCATGGTCTCAACAGAAACATACGAATCCGAGCTCCTGGAACTCTTGGTTCAATTCAACTATCAACAAACTTTGGCAAACAACTCCTGCATGCTGGATGTCTTCCTCATCAACGATACCTCGCCTATAATCCATACGGCAGTTGACTATGTAGATTTCACAGTCAGTAGATTTCAAGAAGTGCTCCGACCATCAGCCGTACTCAATCCTCTTACAAGTTCAATATGCTCCTCCAAAGCCACCAGCCCGTCAACTAATCGATCTGGACTTCAACGTGTTCTCATACCATAAGGCTCACTGGGATCTCATCGGAATAGAAATTATCAACAGTCCTTTCACTGGCTACTGCTACAGCAATGTGGATGTCCTCTTGACTTCATGGTATGAGTGGTTGTATAGTACAGTATCGAAACACATTCCGCCCATCAATAAACACCACCGTAACCTGCCCCCCTGGGCATCGGACGAGGCGTCACATCTTATGAAAAAACTCAGCACACTACGTAAAGCCAACAAGCCAAATGAAACGAAAACAAACATCACTGAAGAAAAAGTACGTGAACAACTGAGGCTCGATCAGACTGAATTCGAAAGCAAAACATTAATGGATCGGAATTTCTCCAAAATGCACAAATATTTCAGAAGCATAAGACGCAGCCACCAAAAAACTCCTTTTCTAAAGTGGGGAAGCATTTCAGCTTCCAGCGATGCTGACAAAGCCAACCTCCTCAATCGCTATTTCCATAGCGTGTTCTCTCCTCCAGAAACTACTACTGCTATATACGATCTTGAATCTGAACCTGCGAGCAAATTGGGGTCAATCACAATCAACGACCAAATAGTCAGCAATGTAGTCTCGAAACTGTCTTTGGCCAAAGCCCGAGGATGCGATGGTATACCAAACATCCTACTGAAGAATATATCTAACGTCAAATCAATGACCCTCCTAATGCGAACCTGTAAGAACAAAGGAGTCTTTCCTGAGCAGTGGAACTACGGACTAACCACCCCCGTCCACAAAGGGGGCGACAAACAAAATGTCTCAAACTACAGGCCTATAACACTTCTTCCAGCACTTTCAAAAGTCTTCGAAAGAATCATATTCGACGCCCTCTATCAACACTTCCGTCCTACATTAAAATGTTCTCAGTACGGGTTTCGGCCTAAAAGATCTGCAGTTTTACAGATGCTGAGTTTCCTCGATAACGTCTACAGTGGCTTAGACGAAAATTCAACTGATTTGCACGTGCTATATATAGACTTTGAAAAGGCGTTCGACAAAGTTTGTCACAGAAAGCTTCTAGCCAAACTATACAACATCGGGATTCGAGGAAAACTTCTCCAGTTGATTGAAAGCTACCTGAGCCATCGAACACAAAGAGGAATCTCTATACACCAAGAGGAATCTCTATACCATCTCTATAAGAGGAATCTCTATCCTGGGTCCGCTTTTGTTTTTGATTTATATTAACGACCTACCCGACGGCATCCACTTTGCTCCGTTCGATTTTGCTGATGATTACAAATTTGTATCCCGCGATCCCGCAAGCTTACAACTAGATGCCAATACACTTATGCAGTGGTGCGAAGAGTATAAAATGCGAATCAACAGTGGGAAATGCAAAGTGCTGTGCCTGAAAAGTAGATACAATATTCTTATGAACCATGATACAGTGGATGTCACGGATGAACATAAAGACTTGGGAATTATTATGTAGAGTACGCTTGGTTGGAATGCGCACGCTAAAACTCGCTGTGAAAAAGCGATCAAAGCTTTCTACATGATTAAAAGAAACTCTTCGCCGTACATCACCCAAAAACTCAAAGCTGCTTTATATTGTGGATACATTGTACCAATATTGACCTATGGCTCCCAGTGTTTGTACTTCAATAAAGGAGACCTCAGAGTTATTGAATCAGTGCAAAGGAAATCAACCTCCTGGATCCTCAACTACCCAACACACCTGAGCTACAAAGAAAAACTTCATCTCCTAGAGCTGCTACCATTATCTCTTTATATGGAAATGCACAGTCTACTTTTGTTTTCTGACATCATCACCGATAAATACGACTATGATTGGTCACAATATGTATTCTTCATCAACTTTACCGGTACTAGGGTCTCAACTCATGATATCATCCAAACAAGAAGTACAAATAAAGCGAAGTGTAGAAAAAACTTTTGGTACATCGCTACAAAACTTGTGAATAAACTCAATCACGTAGTCGATTTCTTTTCATCTGGCCTGAAACAAAGACTTACAAATCTTTGAAGAAATTTTTGCTAAAAAGTAAATTTCAAACGTTTTCGCAACTATGTGCATCGTCAGGATTTTTACAATAAATTACTCTAAATGACGATAAAACATCAATTTACAAATGTTATTTACAAATCTTTACTGATCGCACTTCCTGAACAACTACAACGAACTTGATGCAGGCTCTTGGCGCCTCATGTGCGACTGCGAGCGATGCATCTATAAACAGATACAGTTGTAATTATCTTTCGGGGCTTGCCCCCCCTGATTTTATACTTTGTTTAAACTCTGAATTCATTGTTATTTTTATTATTATTATTATATCCAACGAATCATTTTTGCTCTGAAAATCTGATTCACTCCATAATCACTTATCTTCAATTTACTTATTCTCATTCAGCGTTATTAGCTGTAAGTTTTCGTTGCCTAAGAAAATTGTAAGTGCAGCTTGATCATTATCAATTTACATTCCTCAATTTTTCCCGAGTGATGGAAGTTTTGCGGTTGTTCAATGAAATCAAATAAATAAATGTCTGGTACTCGTCCGAACTTGAATGTGTACAATCTGCATAGAATTTTTTTTTCGTTTGCATAGAACCATTTTAAATGCAATCAAAATTCTAATCTCTCTGACTCTAATTTAGTTTAGCATTTTAGGCATATACAGTTTTAACAATTTAAGATCTAAAGATTACTAGCTCTCGCGAATACCCTCTCAAACAGTGATGTAAACCTTCTATTTGTAACATTGTACAAAGAACGAGGGAAGCGATAGTCAGTATATTACGATAAAGACGACAGGAGGGCAGCCTACGAGATTGCAAGGCCTAGCTAATGAAAACAGGTCTATTTCACTCTGGACTGTGTCACTTCCTGGAAGCTCAAATGAATCTGAAAACAACTGGCATTAAGATTTTTAAACAGCATAAAGCATCGTTGAAAACAAAGTACTTGACTCGAAAGAAAAAAGAATTCCCAATGGACGTAAAAAACTTTTATTCCAAAAAACAGCAATTGATATGAACCGTAGTCCCACGAGACATGGATCGCAACCAGGCGCGGATCTAAAAATTTCTCGGGGGGGGGGGACTTTCACAAAATTTT